AAGCCCTCTGAAGGTCTCTCAGCCTGTAGGGAAGTTAGAAACAAAAATCACATTTATTTTAGCCAGAAGATATGTATGGTCAAATACATGGGAAAAAGAAAAAAAAATGGACCTTACAAATAAATGAATGAAAATTTATGAAGATCTTTGGAAGTGAAACTGATAAGTTGTTTTATAACCAACTATTGATCACAATAGAATACAAAAGGCACAGGGTATTTGTTTTAAGATGAACTGATAAAACTCATGTTAGTGCTAAAGAAATGCTCATTTATTTGAGAGGTCAAATAGGGATCAACAAACAACTGAGACATATCTACAAAAGGGCTGGGAACAGCTTTAATGACCTTTAAATGCTGTCACTGGGGATAGCAGAAGGTGTCAACATCTCCCCAGTGATCTTCTCGATGACTGAAGTAGTTATCAGCTCTTAGTCCATTTGGGTTGCTAGAATAAATACCTTAGGCTGGTAGTTTACAAGCAACAAGGATTTATTTCTGCTGGCTCTGGAGGACTAAGCCCAAGCCTAAGGTGCCGGCAGGTTTGGCGTCTGACAGGTAGGTGGCGCCTTCTTGCTGTCTCTGTTAAGGCAGCCCTGGGCATCTCTGACAATAGCAGTCTCATTGGTTAAGTGACTTAATCATTTCCCATAGCCCGCACCAGCATTCAGACCACAGCCAGTTGTTTATAAAGATATTTAAATCAAGCGCGCTGTTTTCCACAGCTTTTACCAAGTGAAAAAATGTTGTAGGAATGGATACAGTGGCAAGTATTTAAACATAAATCAAAAACCCTGAGGTTATCACACTTGCAAATTTTCCTATGGGAAATATGCATGGTTGTAGAATAAACAAGCAAATAAAAAGAGGCAGTCTGAGTGATAAAGCTATGACCGGGTGCCTGAATCTATAGACCTTTCCCTTCCCCTCCCCCAGGTAATTACAGAGATTTTGATCTCCTCTCAGATATTGTGTTTATTTAACACACATCTCAGCGCACCTGGCTTATCAGTGTACTTCAAGAAAGGCCTTAGCATTATGGTTGAGCGAGTTGGATTTTCTGCTTTATGCTGAATGTTCCCTGGGACTCCCCGTTCCAGCATAAGATCTGTTTGTCTTCTCCTCTCGATACTTGAGACTAAATTTGTCCCAGTCTGAGCTTGCTCTTTTCCTCGCTCCTCTGCTTGGTCTTCTTGCTGCCTGAATAGGCCTTGCCAACATCCAGCCTGTGTGGGGAGCTCAGCTGGTTCTGCCCCTCCACCCTCCGCCTCCTCAGGACCACTCTGTTTCCTCTAGGCCCGTCTCTCACCTATCAGTCAGTCTCCTCCTGGGGCCTCCTCCCCTCCCCACAGCCTACCCACTGTCACCCATTACTTTCTTTGGCACTGCCTTCATAACTGCTCTTTCAAAACCTAAGATGTCCTATACCACATGAGCTAGTTCGTCCTGTACTAAAATAAGGGCACTCTGTTGTAAAGCTACAGTTCTATGATTTGGAAGCATACGAGGCCAAGTGGCTGGTAGCTTCCTGCCTCAGTTGTCATTGTAAAGATAAATAAAAGTCCCTACCAGGCCACTGTGGATTATAAATTGCTGCCCACACACAGAATCTGTGAGAGATTGGGGCTGGGCTATGATTCGTTCATTTGACTTCCCTCCTTTGCGTAAGTTGTTATCACCCATAATGCCTCAAATTCTAGTCTGCAATACTCTTCCGCTATAGACCTAGGTGGTTCAAATTATTGTCCCCACCAGGGTCCAGGCTCTGCTCCAGGTCCTGGGCATCATCAGATCTCATCTTTACATGCTGACCTGAAGGGCCACTTCCTTCATGTCTTGCCATCCAGAAAGTTCGGAGGTGTCCAGGCAGGGGCTGGGACGAGCACTTTTCTGCCTTCATTATCATGAAACCACATACTGTTTTCCTGCTGAGAAAAATCTTTAAACCATGATTTGCAAGGACTGTGCAAATTCTCATTTCCTGTTCTTCCAAGGCAGAGATTTCAGATCGACCAAAGTGAACAGAATTAGATATTATGAAATGATACCCAGGCAAGCAGATGTAGAGTTAAGGGAGGGGGAACATTTTTCAGTCTAGTTCTTTTTCAGATGCTTCCAGTTTTCATCAGCTTTGTCTTCTCTGACTGTGTCCATTCATGGAAAGTAAAATAAGATGGCAGTGATTCTGATGCAAGGAAAAACTACAACCAGAAAAAAAAATTTTATCCAAATTATACTACTAATGGGAGACTTCTGGACACCTTAGTTTCTATTAAGGACTTTCTTTTTTTTTCCCATAATTTTATTGATAAACAAATAGCAATGAGACAGTTTCAAATCAAATTGGTAGGACAGTTTCAATAATTCACACTTGCATACATTCTTCCTAGTGGTTGATTGCTGTACAAGATGAGGACATGATATCCTATTTACAAACACCATTAGAACAAATCACTCTATTCATTAAGAGAATATAACTGTATATCTATCCTAACCACTTTGAACACACAGATACAAAATGGACATTCATCTGTATCCCCTTTTTTGTTAAGTTCCATTATTTGAATATTGTAAGTGTATAAACTCATTAAAATATTCTAAAAGAGTTCAGTAGCCCATAATAGTATTGGGTCTTCTGCTTCACTAGCAATGTCAGAAGTTGTTGACCTGAGTCCCCTACAGCTCAACAATAACAGCATGGCTTTACTTCTTATATTTCATTTTTATACTTTTCTGCTGGATGGTTAAGACCAAGGTAAAGCAGGACCTATACAATAAGTAAAGGCAGGGCGGGGGCTTGAACCTGCGAGATCGCACTGTAGAGCCTGATGCGTAAACTGCTACACTAGCTCTCCAGCTCATTAAGGACTTTCTGTAACACGCTGAGAGTGTCAAGGTGACTCTGGATTGGATATATGGCACTGGTGACAAACCTATTGGACATGTGCTACGGCAGGTTGTTCGCATCACTGAAAGCCCTAAAAGGCTCACCATCGTTGATACACGGGATTGTACAAGTACAGCAAAGCTGATTGGCCAAGCTACTGTCAGTGTCTTGTGGTACCCTAGCCACATGCACAATTTTTACTTGTCATTAAATATACTTAAAAACATGGAGACCAAGAAATCCTCACATACAATCACGGATGCATGGAGGACGGATGGGTGTTAGTGGCTGATTCATTAAGTCAAGAGAGAAGTCTAGAGGCATAACTAAGAAACTCAGCAGTTCTCCATCGAGGGTGTAGAGGACACACCCTTATGCTCTCAGATGTTCATTGTGTCAACTTGAGCAGTTTAGAAATGTACCTAAGAGGCCAGGAGATAACTTGGTAGAATAGCGCTTGCCTGGCAATTGCAGTCAGTCAATCCCTGGTACTTAAAAAAAAAAAAAAAAAAGAAAAGAAATTTAACGAAGTGACTCAGCAGGGGTCTAGGGATTTGGTAAGCATCCTGAACCTGTGCGGGGGAGGGCACTGAGATAGTGTGAGTGCTACACCCGCCAGAGGGCAGGTAGCCTGCATACAATATAGAGACTGCTCCCCCAAGCTCTTGTTGCTTTTGCTGTCTTCTGCCAGCACCAACTGTTGCCCCTGTGCCCTGTGCCACCCTGTGTTGCAGCCAGCTGATTACAGGCTGACTCCTTCACAAACTGTGAGTTAAATAAACCTTTCCTTCCTTAACTTTGGGCTTCAGGTATTTTGTTTCAGCAATAAGAGAAAAGTACCTAAGGTAATGGGTAATGTTATGGCTCAGGCATTAAATGTGCTCCAAAAGTTTCACATTTAGAAGTGGGACTCTTGGGTGACTGGGTCATGGGGCTGCTACACTCTGCAGTGGATTGATTCCTCGGCTCAGCTGGCAGTGCTGCCAGGAGGTGCAGCCTGCCTGGAGAGGCCCCAGAGCTGCCAGTCCTTGTCTGCAGCTCTTCCCATCTCTGCTTCCTGGCCATGCAGTTTTCCTCTACCAGGTTCTTCCATTCGGCCTCAGAACTCACTGAGTCTGGCCTGAACCCACTGAAATTATGATCCAAGTTAAACTTCTCCTTTAAAATTGTGGCTGTGGGCTCTTGTGACCCAGTGATGGGAAGTGACTGATGCTGACAGAATCCAAGAAAAGCTGCCTCGACTCTGATTTTGTTTAAATTTCCAGCAGCACTTGAGTCCAACAAGGTTTTTACACATGAGGTCTGTTTTCAGATTCTGCTACCAAGTGGGGGTGTGGGCAGGTCCTTCTTCTCTGTCTGGGGTGTGACGCTCTCTCTACCACTGCAGTTGTATACTCTCCAACTATTCATTTTCCTGCGACCTTAACTACAGTCTATTCTAATATCCACTTCCTAATCCTTTTTTGGGTTAGGAGATCACACACCAGGAGCACCTAGAGCAGCTCAGGTTTTAAGAGCATGAGTATGTCACCTGCAAAGCTGTTCAAAAACTAAGGACTTTCTGGGGAAGAGGATCTAAGGATGGGGAGGGGAGAGGGGAAAGAGAATAAAAAGAACTAAGACATGTTATGTACATGGACCTACTTCCCATGATGAATGTAATCATTATGTACTGCAAACATGTACTAAGCAAAAACAAAGACACTGCTAAGGCTTGCAGACTGGGCCAGGAAAGCATTAAACCCGAGGCATCAGAATACCCCTTCCCACTCCCCCTGTGCCCAAGAGGCACTTGCACACAGTAGGTCAAAAATAAATGCTCAAGGTTCACAGTGCTCCTTGCCTCAGCACTGAGATTACTGACCGCTTGCTAGCTGCCCCTCTTCCCTGGAGTCCCACGTCGAAGACCGACCCCATTTCTACCATCCCAAGTTGCTTCACTGCACCTCGCTGCCGCTGGGCATGACCCGAGGCGAGGCGAAGACCGGTCCCAGCGTCCGGGCGGGCGGGTCTTGGCGCAGCCGGGCCTGGCCTCGCCGCCCGCCGCGGTGTTTACCAGTTGCCCAGGAGACGCGCGGCCACTGCCACTGCCCGGCTCCGGGTGTCTCTGCGTCCGCTCCGCAGCCAGCATGAGCCGCCGGGGCCGCCCCTGCTCCCGGAGCCTGGACCCGACCTCCGACGCCGCGTTGGGCGCCGAGTCGCCTGCGCCCGAGGTACAGTCCCAGCCGCCGGGGCGGAAGGAGTCGTCCTGGCTCAGCTCCTAGCCGGGAGGCGCCGCGGCTAGACTACCCCGAGCGGGCGCAACCCCTGTGCACCCAGGAGTCCTGAATGCGTGGGCGGGATTACAGCTGCAAGGTCGGGCGGGGCAGGGGACTGCGGTGACTGCCTAATTTCAGAAGTAATGGGCAGGTCAGGAGTTTGTAAAGTGCATCTGAATTTTGTTTAGGCTGTGTCATGCAACCCCTTTAACTGCTTAAAGTTGTTAAACTCGGCAGACACGCCAGCTCTGTCCCTAGCCCCGGAGCCTATAGGCATATGCAGTGCCTTCATTATGTGTTCGTGTTTAGCTCCCGGGACTTGGTGCTGAGCTTTCTTCCAAAGCTGATGTGGTGGGAGTAAGGCTGGCCCAGGGAAAGGTCGCCGACTCAGCGTTGCTAAGCGCTTCGAAACAGTAATTCAGTTGTCCTTGGATCCATTTACTCCTGGGCTAAAGCACTTAAGCACTGGTAACTTGCAAGAGTCAGGTATGCTACACCAGACACACACACACACACACACACACACACACACTAACACACACACTTTTAACAAATATGCTGGCTGAATATGCATCACCTCTGGACCTGGTGCCCCAGGTACCCCGTGAGTCTGCAGCCTCCGCCAGAAAGCTGAGCATCATGTCCCCCACAGTTGCTAATGCTAGAGGCGCCTCAGCATATATATCAAGGGTCCCTGGGGAATGTTAGGCTCAAAGCAGGGGTTGCGTTCCCCAACACCCTACCAGAATCTAATAATATTCAACACCTTTGATTGTTGCCTTACACCCCCACGTTTAGATTTCCCCGATTCCTGATGTGTTTGTGGAAAAGTAGTGTCTTTATGTACCCATAAAACTAATTGTTCTTCCATCTGGCTTTTTCATACCCAACATTACGTTGTATAGCAACATGGTGTCTGTTCTTTATGATGAAGACCATCAGCCCATGCATGAGGCAGTTATATTTTTATGTTATTTACATATTTTTGGTGAGCCTGAACTAAATTATAAGGAAAGAATAAAAACAAAATAGGGGCTGGGGAGATAGCTCAGTTGAACAAGCATGTGATTCTCCCACCCTAAATACTCGGTGTGTATGATATAAGAAGAGGCAGTTTGCTAATGTAAAGTACAATGATCAAATTCTGAATACCATCTTTAGCATTTTTACAATAATCTGCCTACTTAAATAGAACATGATCTATCTAAATTTTAGCAACTATTCCAGTTATGTAGGAGGCCTGCCCCGTAGCTCAGTTCTTTAAGTGGCTGCTTCAACAAAGCAGTCAGCTCAGGTTGCTGTGGTTTGATCCCTACAACTCAAGCAGGCCAAACCTGCCCTGAAGGCATTCGGAGAAAAAAAAATCCAGTTATGCGAGTGTTGCAAATTTTTTCATTCCAAGATCAGGTATATTAAGTCATTACCTCTTGGTTTCTTTTTTAAAATTAATGTTACTGGTACATTTTAGATGCACATAATGACAGCATTAATCACGAGGAATTTGCGTCTGTACATGATCTGCCATGGTTCTGTTTTTCCCATTCCCCTTCCCTCCCTTCCATGCCACTTCCCCTCATTTACTTTTTTTGTTTGTTTGTGGAGCTGGGGATTGAACTCAAGCCCTTGCGCTTGCCAGGCATGTGCTTATTCAACTGAGCTATCTCCCCAGCCTCTACTTTGTTTTTATTCTTTCCTTCTATTCTTTTTTCTTTCTTCTTCCTCCCTTCCTTCTGCTCCCTTCCTAGTTCTCCTTCCCACTTGAACATTTTCTTCCTATTTCACAATATCTAGTATAAATTTTGGTCTTTATTTACACGTATGATTTCTCACATCAGAGAAGCCTTGTCTATTTGAACACATGTGTCTGATTTATTTTACTTAAGAGTATGGTCCAAGGTTCATCCATTTACCTAGGAATGAGTCAAGTTTATCCGTCTTTATGGTAGAGTAGTACTCTACCTCTTCTTCCTTTATTTGTCAATTGGTGGGCATTTGAGATGTTTCCAAGATTCCGCTATTACAAATTGTGCTGCTATAAATATGGGTCTGCTTATATTGCCATGGTGTGATGCTTTTAATTCTTTTGGGAAGATACCTAGAAGGAGAATGGCTGGGTCAAGTAACACTTCTGGTTCTAGGATTTTGAGGAATCTCCACACTGGTTTCCACAGTGATTGCAGCATTCTACACTCCCACCAATAGTGGAGAAAGAGTCTTTTTTTCCCCTAAAGCTCCCCCAGCACTTGCTATTGGCTGATTTTTGATGATAGTTATTTTTGCTGGGGTATTGTTTTAATTTGCATCTCTCGAATGACCCATGCTGCTGAGCATTTTTTTTCATATATTTATTTGCTGTTTCAACTTCTTTATTTGTGAAGCATCTGTTCATTTCAGATGGCCATTTTTAGATTGATCTTTAATTTGGGGAGCCTAATTCTTTTATTTATCAGTCGTATTATTTATCAGAATTCTTTATTCTAGATATCAGCTCTTTGAGAGATAGTTGGCAAAATTTTTTTCCCCACTCTGAGGGTTGTCTCTTTGCTGTGGAAAAGCTTTTTTTCCCCAATTGTTTACTCTTTATGATGTTTTCTATGAGATTGGGATTTTGTTCATAAAGTTGTTGCCTACATCTGTATATCTTCAAGGGTTCTGCCTTTTCTATCTTCCAGTTGACTTAGTATTTTATTTTAAGTTTCAGATATTGGATCCATTTTGATTTTAGTTTAGTACATGGTTAGAAATATGGATCTAGGTTTAAAGTTTGGTGTATGGAAAGCCAGTGCTTCCAGCACCAGTTATAAAAGAGGCTATCTTTCTTCCAGTGAAGGTGTTTGGCCCTTTTGCAAAGATAAGGGGGCTGAATGTATTTGGAGTTCTAGTCCAAAACTTCTAGTTAATTCCCCTGATCCTGATGTCTTTTTTTTATTCTTTGCCACTACCATACTGTTTTTATCACTGTTAGCTTTGTAGTATAATTTCAAGTCTGCGATTGTGAGGTCCCTTGGCTTGCCTTTGTTGCCCAGAATTGCTTTTGCTATTCTAGGTCCCTTCTAGTTCCAGATAAATTTCAGATTTTTTTTCTTTAATTTTGTGGGGGTATGCTATTGTTATTTTGACCAACATTGTGTTAAACCTGTATTTGACAGTATGACCATTTTTTTATATTGGTTCTTCATAATGCTTATATATATTGATTCCTTATGTTGGTTTATATTGGCTCTTCCTACCCAAGAACAAGGGATATTTTTTCATTTTCTAATATCTGTTTTGTTTTCCTTTTTCAGAGTACTGTAGTTTTCAAAGTAAAGGTCTTTTACTTCCTTTGTGAGTTTTTTTTTGTTGTTGTTGGGGGGAACTGGGGATTGAACTCAAGTCCTTGTGCTTGCCAGGGAAGCACTTATTCTACTGAGCCATCTCCCCAGCCCTCCTTTGTGAGATTGATTAAGTATTTCATTTTTTTCCAATGCAATTGTGAAAGGTGTAGTTTCTGTAAATGTCTCTTTCAGTGGGTTTGTTGTTTGTGTATAGGAATGCTATGGAGTGTTGGCTTTGTGTTCAACTATTTGGTTATTAAGGTTGCAGTCTTTGGGTAGAGCATATAGGGTCTTCTCTGTAAGTATTTTTAATTTCTGCAAATAATGCTAATTTAACTTCTTCTTTTCCTAGCCAATTCCTTTTATTTCTTTCTCTCACCTAGTTCCTCTCATTAAAGTTTCCAGAACTGTATTAAAAGAGAGTGCAGACAATAGACAACTTTGTCTTATTCCTGATTTTAAGGTGAAAGTTTTCAGTTTTTGACTATTTATTATGGAGTTATCTATTGGTTTGTCATAAATAGCTTTCATCAGCTTGAGATAAAGACCATCTACTCTAATTTTCTGTAGAGTTTTTATTGTGAATGGGTGCTGAACTTTGCCAAATGCTTCTCTGCATCTATTGAGATGATCATGTGGTTTTGTCCTTGGTTCTATTAATATAGAGTGCTATGTTTATTTATTTGTATATGTTGAAGCATTCCTGTATCCCTGGGGTGGATCCTACTTGGTCATGATTTATGATCTTCTTGATGATTTTACCCTCAGGAGAGAAAATTTAGAAGAAGTTAGAGGGGGAAATACAGAATAGAAGAAGAAAAAGGGATTAGAAACCAGTCTAGAAGCTATGTGTGATGGCCTATATCTGTAATTTGAGCACTTGGGAGTCTAAGGCAGGAGGATCACTGTGAGCTCAAGGCCAGCCCCAACTGCACAGCAAAACTCTGCCTCAAAAAACCAAACAAAAACAAAAACAAATAAACAAACAAACAAACAAAAAACCAAAAAGAAGAAGTAAAGCTGTAGGATGAAAGATTATGCAAGCTTTGGAAACTGGTGAAGAAGACAGGAGGGAAAGATGGAAGAAATGGAAACAAGAACAGAATAAAGAAACAATAAGAAAAACTAGAACTAATGTTGTCACTTGTATAAAGACAGGAACCATCAATAAAAGAGGAAAAAAATTAAGAAATAAAATGTCCCTTTCAGGGCATGTCTCTGCTTTCAGTGGCCGACAGGGGAAGCAGACAGAGACCGCATCCACGTGGGCTGGATCAGCAAGCCAGCAGGAGAGTTGTGGTGGTGGTGGAGAATCCCAGCAAGCCTGGGCCGCTAGCTCCACTCCAATCAGGGTGCTTCTGGTGCTGGCTGTGAGGCTGGGACCTGAGTTTTTCAGCCTGCAGCACTCCAGGTGCCTCCTGCTGGACTGAGCTTGGTTCCGTGATCTTCTGCAGGCTTGAACCCCGTTGCTGTGCCTTAGCCTGTCACTTGGGGCTGCTGGACGGAGTCAGCGCATTATGTCTTGGCACGGTACAGCAGGAGCTCCCTCTTCTGCTTGTCCCATGACTAGTCTCTGCTAGATGTCCACTGGAAAGTCACCTTTTCTTCTGTAGCAATAAATTGCTGGTTAGATCAATT